TAGCATTTTTATTGCTTCCAGTCAGAATATTTTAATTTTTTGAAGTGTGAAATATTTTTATTTGGATAATTATAATATCTACATAATAATAAAATCAATTTGAATCCACTGGTTACTTTATTTCTATTTCACTTTATGTTCCCCATTGCTGGAGAAAAGAGGTCAGTGATAGGTAAGTAAACAAATCACACGTGTTTGTCGCGGTGTTATAGCGGAGAGCCTTCACACTGAGTAAACACCGCGACAGCAGCGGGACTGTCCCGCTGCTGTAGCTAGGCGAACCTAGCGATAGTTTGTCGCGGCGTTATCGCGAGGCGGTGTTATCCCGCGATAGTTTATAACGGGTCCGAGCCTTCACACTGAAGACAACACCGCGACAGCAGCGGGACAGTCCCGCTGCTGTCGCGGTGTTTGAGGCCACTGTGAATGGGGTATTAGATAGATAGATAAATAGAATAAGGCAATTAGTCCATGGGTCAAATACTAAGACACAATCTTAATTGAATTTTTTCTGTTACTTAGGACCGTTACCTATCAGAATGTGCTTGTTGGCTCTAAGGTTGGGGGTAGATGTGACCACTATGGCTATTGCCAGGTTAATGGATGAAGAACATTGGAATTTAGAACGCGTCTTACAGCGACATACGGCGCATTTATGTGCACTTTTCACCAAAAATCGAAAAGAGAAAACTCGTCCCCGGATTTGTTATGGGTTTTTCCAGTAGTGCAAATGGCAGTCCAAAATATCGACTATTTTTCTAGATGGTGTTTGGGATGTGCGAGTGGGTATATTGAGTAATCATCCGCTTACAAGAAAACGCTTCTGGGAAAAGGGCATCATGCACATTCCCTGGTGATAAGAATATACGCGGGAGGGGTAGCAAACTTGATAGCCCCAGTCGGGAGCGGGGGTAAGGGGAGGGGGGGTGGAAACTATGATTTTGAAGAAGGGAGGCAGAGTGAATGATTATTCAATGACTAACACTTTGTGGTATAATCTATCATTCAAATGTATTAAATATCTTTTCACCTTATTGGATTTTTACCTCCGCCTCCCCCTCCCAAAACGAAAAGAATGTCTGTACCTACTGAGGTGAATAATAAATTTCCATGCACAGAAATATGAACAAATTATGACACCGCAAATAAATCATCACATGATATAAAAAGGTGAGCGTACTCTAGATAAGAAAATCTTATAATCATAGCTCAAATGCATCTTCAAGAATCTGAAAGAGAAACCGGTTGATGAAAAATATGAAGGCCATTGATTTATAATTGACGACTTTAAGTGGGTTATAGTGGTTTCAATTAAATAAGCTAGGTTGAAGGCACTTTTTTTTGTCTACTTCGTGAAATAAATTTGTTGTAGAACCTGTCTAGAAAGCCACCTGCCTACACTTCAGTGCCCACTTTTCATGTTTCTGTTTTCCTTGGATGACAAGCTTGACTATGTTTGCGTGATGATACCAAATACGAAGGTTAAATTAATCGTCTCTGTGCACTTAGTAATGTTTTTTATTTTGTTTTAATAAATAGTTTACTTCCTCTTTTAGATTGCCGGATACTTTCAACTTTCATTAGGTCTACGGCTTATTTCACATTCCGTGGGCAGTTTTGAAAATTTAAGAAATATTTCTTACAAGCAAAAAAAAGGGGGGAGTGGTGAGTCTTTACTCGTACAGGGCCTGCCGTGTGGAATGCTATAACCAGACAGATTAGAAATAGCAGAACAGTTGAAGTGTTCAAAATGTACTTAAAACGTTTGAAGAACCTTTTTATGGCACACTACACCTATGATCTACTCTTGTTTAAGTATTTTTCATAGGCCTATCACTTAAAGGGAAAACCTTCCTTGATAACGAACTACTCCATAGCCAAAGCAGAAAGAACTTCCGGTAAATCCGATGTCCGGTTCCTGTACCCTATCCACTGAGAGGTCGGTGACCCAATCATCGTCACGTGCGCGTCGTCAGTGGGTGATGCACTGTGGGATATGGCTGCCGACAAATCTGCACATTGTAAGCAATAGATCTCAGTATCCGTGAATCTTCAGTAGTGTCAGTGGAATACCCTGCATTCAATTTTATTATTATTATCATCATCATTAACATTAAAGGTAATGCAAAGTTTTTGGGACATTTTGAAAATTAGATGGATAGTAATTCATTACAATTTTGGTATATTTGGATGCCCCTGTAGATGTATTATAAGCACTACAAAATTTAGCCCCTAAAACACTTCTGGTTTCGAGAAATTGAATAATCAAAAATTTACCGTTGCTCCCGGTAAATTTCAAATATTTCAAATAGCGCCTTAAGCCAGTCCATGGTAACGTAGCTGCGACCATCAGAATATGCTGTTCTGATATATAATTTCCAAACGGGAATGGAAAATCGGTCGATTGTCAATAAACATTGTTTTTACAGCTAAAGTAATATAAGTCTTGAGAGGGAGCTATACAGCATAAAGAGTTTATTATTTACAATTTCATCACTTTAGGCCCGATTTCAACCGCGACAACGATCATTGAATATTGTAAAATCGCATATGCTTCCAACCTGTTCATTTGAACCAAATTCACGACCCCATACCAGAATTCTGAATTACCCTTTTATGTTATCATTACTATTATTATGATTATTATTATTATTATCATAATAATTATTATTATTTATATTATTATTATTTAAATCATTAAATTCAAATCAGAAACGTACAGAGCTGCTCAAAATGCATGCGTGTTTACTCAAGAGGAACATGTCTCGTTAATCGAGGACATTTTATTGTCCTCCAATAGAGACTGCCTCCCTTCATGAAAAGGGTGACCTCAAGTCATTCTAGAATCACTTGGGAAGAACACAAACAACTACAAAAATAAAATCTCTAAGAAAATCATTGTATACGAGGAAAAAAGTATCTACAACAAAAAGTTCTTAAGACACTAAATAGATTATAAATCAGTTCAAATCGCTTTTGGTTGCAAAATTCACTTTCGCTCATGAAAGTCACTTTCACTCGCATTTGATCATTTGAAGTAGGCCTATATGCTTAATGAGTGTCGTTTTAGTTGATCATAAATCATAAAAGAGAAGGGTGAGTTTTGGAAAAGATGAGCAATTATTAGTTACACCTCCAAACCAACTCGTGACAGTCTCTAAACCGACCGATTCTTGGTCAGTCCGGCTGCGGTCTTTCTTCAAGCCCCTAAGTTACATATTATTACCAACAAAAATTGTATTATTAATGCCTCTATCTGTAAAACTTGAATTTTTGCATGAAAAATAATGTACAGCTATCTTTTCATAGCATATGACTTTAATAGTGTACATTACAATATAAACATTTTAGTTGTCAGGAGTTTTGTCAAGTTGTTTTGTATTCGCAGACATTAATGTTCAACTTTATACTATTTGAATGCAACTCTCTCTCTCTCTCTCCTCCACTTTCATTCTATCTCTCTCTCCTCCACTTTCATTCTATCTCTCTCTCCTCCACTTTCATTCTATCTCTCTCTTTCATTTTATTGCATGAGTATTTTTAATTATAATGAGGACGTCAGCTCAAGCTGTGCTAATGACGACCCCTTTTTTCTAAGTATGATTTTATGTGCCAGTGCACGTTACAAATCATGTATTTGATATGATGAAAATAAATGAACATCAAATAAAGTAAAATAAAATAAAATCTATTCCGGTCTCGTTAGGGTGATTGAGGGATAAAACTCTTAATTCGTAGTGTACGCCTAAATTTGAATCTCCGCTGTGAAATCGATTGATACCATATCGTCCAAATTGATATTTCACGTTTGTTGTTGTTGTTGTTTTAATTCCGTATAATAAAATCAGATACAAATACATATAAAGTAATCATACAGAGAAAAAGGGACCGCATACGGCTGGTAGCCCATTTTCAGCTGCAACTATATTGTTGCTGCTGGTCTTCCATGGGGCCAGTTTACAATATGCAAAATATACGTAATATAACAAAATTAACAAAATAAATAATTACAGTATATAAGTATCAGTCTAAAACATAATACAAATACTTAAAGAAAAAGAAGAAAGAAAAAAAGAAAAAAGAAAAAAGAAAAAAATAGTAATACTCTAGGAAGTACCACGACTTCCACATTGATATCATCAATACACGTAAATACACGCCTGCACACGAACACACACACGAGTACACACACCTACACATACGCACACGCACACGCACACAAAAACCTAGAACTAACACTGCGTTCCAAATACTATTTTTCTGTTCCGCTTTATTTGTGTGCAATTAAACACTTTCTTCATCAGATCCAATATACAATCAATAAGTACGACATCCCTCACCTTAACATTCTTTCTTCTTTATCGTGCCACTTCGTCTTTAATCTTAGAATAGATAATATCATTTTTGCCTGGTTGATGTATCATTGTGCAGAAACATGTTATTCAGCTTCTGTTTAGTCTCAGCTTTCTGTCAAACTCTTTCAACCTACCAATTGCCTATTTCCTCACTTATATCTCTCTTCCCCACCTTCTCCCTTTCCCACCTTAAGCTTTGGTCACAAATCAGGCGAAATTGGCTCAAAACTCGCCGCCCGGCCGCCGAGCAGGCTACTTTTAGGTGTTGTGACCATAACTTTAATCAACTCGCTACCCGCCTTCTTTTCTCTGCCCTCTATTTATATCTCTTTTGAAATTGATTTTAGACAGTTTGTCTGAAATACGATGTAATTCCTTTATCATGTTAATCGTTCCTTACATTTTCCATAGATTGTGCAATTCATTTGTCGTATGTTTGTTTATCTGAACCTACACGCATCAATTTATTTCAACATCATTATTACGCCTCTGACTTGATGTACTACTATTACTGTTCAGTATTATGTAGACATTAACATTTATTTGGTTCGTTTCCCTGTAATACAACTCTGCAAGTCAGCCAATTGGCCGCCAGTGAACTTTTCAATTATCCATTACTACATGTACTATTGTATTAACCTTGAACTAATGTGGTTGGTATTTAGTAGTCTGCTTCTTGGCCACTTGTATGAGTGCAGTTTCGACCTACAGAGTGACATTACAAAAAAAAAACACTTTTGAGTGATCTATTGTTTCAAAAGAATATCGCTTTCATACCTCTTGTTATTGGCCTTGAAATCGATCTAACACTTTGATTATCTCTCAAGTTATCGGACAGAGCCGTGGTTTTTAAGAAATTATTAGTACATGTAGTGCAAGAGTCAAACAAGACAATGAAACTACAGTAGATTCGTTTGGTCTGGTTAGAAATAAGAAAGATACTAAATCTCTTCAAAACGTCTAATTGAAACTTTAAAACACTCTTTACCCATCATTAATACCCAGTTTCGGTTATATCCATCAATATTCAAGTAAAATCATTTGGATTTAAATAACGCTTAATACGAAATACCGTCTCTTAGCGCTTTCAAGATATTATTAACCCGGTCATCGGATTCATCCACGCACAATTTGCACCTTTTCCACTCCCTGGGGAGTATTCCTAACCTATGGTGACCTTGAGGTCATATCGAAATTACTCACACAAAAACTTTCGTCATCCTACCAGGTCACCACATCTCTCCTGGGTATGGAGTTGCAAATATAGATTAAAGCCTTGTCAAAAAACATAAGTGCCGTGTCGGGGATCGAACCCACGACCTTTGCATTTCATGTCAAGTGCTTAAACCACTCGACTTCGACGTCTCTACTTAAAGCCATGACACCAAGCAAACATCATTTAATAAATCAAGCAAAGGTTTAAGGTTTTTTTTTTTGTTGTAAATATTTAGTTCGATATTCACTTTCGTTAGTGTCCTTCTTTGCAAACACTAGCGGTTCATTCTCTTTATAAGTAAAAACATAATTTCTTGGGGGGGGGGTCTTGAAAAGAAAGGTAAATATATACTCACAAACATTTCCTACCCAAAGATAACATTTACTTGCGGGACACGCGCTGTTTCTTTTCGTTTAAACACAGTAAACATGCCTATCAATTGTATAGAGAGAACATCCTTAATATTACACTCTACATATCTCTAAAAGGACGTGCAATATATAAGTGATCATAGTGGATAAAGATTGAGAGAACAAGGTCATTTGGTCAGGGGAAAAGTGTGAGTGGGGATCGTCATCTTCATTCTAAGTTTTATTTTCCCGGCCCTATCTCTCATTTTTCTCTTTCTGTATTTTCATGTATATGTTCAGAATCAGAAGGGCCTCAACTCTTTGTTAAAGTATATGAGTTAACACTCTTCTGGTCCCAAACAAACGTTTCAACTCAGATGATGTTCAGAGAGCTGTATGGTCTCATTTTTAATCTTGACGGTGTGGTGTGCCGACACGTCCCAGTACAGGTAGGCCACACAAATGTTTATTGAGTAGTCGACCCTCGACCCTAGAATTTGGCTTCAATCTGTAGACATCATTACCGTCGCTATCGTTACATGCTTACAGATAACACTATGAATTCATTCAATAACTTTAGCCACTTATTTACAGCTTATTTTACAGGTAACATACAGTGTAATCGAAGTGTATACAGTATTTTTTTCTCCTGTTTAGTTCTTTTGTTGTCATCATTTTAGTGTTTTTAAGGAAAGAAAATCAAAATTCCTACAGCTCTGTCCAAATCAAGGAGACTCTGCACACTAATATCAATGATGATTTTTGTATTTGTGACAAACAGTCTTAAGTAGAAAAAAACATTAAAAAAAACATAATGAAAGAATGAAGATTAGATACGATTGTGCATATTTACATCATTCTTCAGAAGAAGAAAAAACCCTTGCAACTCGGGTGACTTTCAATTTGAAAAGGAATCAATTTGAAAGAAGTTATTTATCGTTGCACAAGATGCATCTTTTACTACAATATTCTAATACGACAATCAACCTATTAGTGAATGCGCCAATTTATTGAACACAACGTTAGCACCGCTGTTAATTTGCATTTAATTTCTGGTAAGATGATACGCTGAAAAGGTGCGTCAAAGACCGTGACAGTCACTGACGCAATCCTGAGTCAGCAAATGACGCCTCGTGTGCAATAGCCATCATGTCTTGTTAACCACTTATATTTGATGCAGAAATCGATGGAGGTGTTTCCGATTTTTGTGTCAAACCGAAAAATTTCTTCAGCCCTTTTCTGAAGTGCCGATATTTCAAGGTGTATATAAAAGGATTGATACACATGTTAAAGAATGCGAGATAAACAGTAAAATTATAGAAAGGACCGGTAATTAAGTTTTCTCCTTTACCGAGGTTGTAACCCAGGTAAATAATATGGTTAGGTGCCCAACAGATTGCATACGTCACGCTGACTATGATTAGAGTCTTGATGACGTTTACCCTCGCCCTTTCACGGTGGTTGGCTGGTGGATTCGGCGTGCGATCTGCATTCATAGTGTGACGTCTGTTTGACTCTGCGACGTCGTTGTCAACCCGTTGACGAAGCGTCTTCTCAATGCTAGAGTAAGCAAACGCCATGATGACTAACGGGAGAAGAAACGTTATGAGGAACGTCATGCACCCGGCGAGAACCTTCAGCTGTGGACTGGTATATTGAACGTCGCAGTTGCCATTCGAATGCTGATTGACTACAGCCCAGTAGATCTTGTACACGAAGCCAATTATCCAAGGAACCGCGGCCAGAGCCGGGGTGCGGCGGTTACTGAAATGGTTGCGGTAGCTAACTGGGAACACAACCGCAACATACCGCTCTAACGTCAGGAGAACTAGATTAAACGTCGAAGCAACAGTCATTGCCCAGAAGATGTACTTGGAGTTCCAGATAGCGCAGACGAACTCGGCGGCGGGTTCACTTTCTGGCACAGACAGGGGAGGAGCGATGAACATCGCGAAGAGAAGAATCGACGTCATCATGTCGATGACGGATTGGTTGATGATGAAGGCGTTGGTGGTTGTCCGTAGCTCCTTGATGCTGATCATGACCACGAGAACGAGGCCATTCCCGAGAATCCCTACAGATCCCAGAAGAGCGTAGAAAGTTACTGAGGTTATATTCGGTTCATCACCTGTAGTATTCATGATCAGTCGTAGAGGAGAGATTATTGCAAAAATGTTGTTTTCCCTCCAATCCTGCGTTCATGACCGACTGTTGTTTCTCATGATGAATTATAAGAGAAGCTACTGTTCTCACCTTGTGGTGCCAGGCACCTTTTTATGTTTCACAATAAGAATTAACAAGGGTAAATTAATTTTATCGAAAAACAACGCCAACAGTCACCAAAACGACGAGTCTATGACAATATCAGAACTAATTTTTCTTTGCCAATTAAGTGACAAATAGAAAATGAAAGAGACATATACCAGGAAGCTGGCGATTGATGATAAATATCTGAATAACAATAAGCGTGATAAATGAGGACTGATTGGATGAACAGAAGCATGTATATGAAGAGGACAGCGCATGCGCGCAATTATATATTTTCAGCGGGTTAGTTGGCATGATTATGTCTCATTGATGAATCTGCTTGCTTATTGTACATACATGTTCTAATGTCAACTCGAGTCATATTATTTCTTTTTAATAAAGACGGCAAAACTGTAAAAATAAGAAGAGCATTTTTGTTATGTAATAAGCCCACTCCATGTTAAATTTTGTTTGTTTTTGTTTATGCATTTACATTTCGTTGGCTGCCCCCAAGAAGAACTTTTATTTATTCATTCATGTATTCATTTATTCATTTATTCATTAATTCATTTATTCATTTATTCATTTATTTATTTATTTCTGATATGAACTATGTATTGTCTATGGCAGTAACAGCCTGTTCGATGGCAGCCGACGATTTGTAAAAAAAAAAGTACACGAGTGTTATACTTCCTTCTTCAATTTCCAAAGTCCTTCGTGCCAGTTGTTGTTTGGAAATGATAAAAGAGACCTTGTATTTCTGAAGTGCCTATAATGACCTTAAGAAACCTGTGCGCCAAATATTACTTTCAATATAGATTGCTAATTGTTATATATGTAAACTTTATATGTATCAAGTGCAAGTGATAATATTCTAGGAAGACGGTGTTCCTGTACTTTCAGCACTCAAGTCGCATATTATACCCAAGCAAAGTACAATTCTAGAAGGAGTTATTAAAGACGATGTTACAGATAGGCGTTTGTCTTTGCAATATGTTCGAAGCCACTACAATAAATATGAAAATAGGTACTTTGCACAAATACTTTTGCACTTAAGAATACAAACCATTCGCATAACTGTATATGAAACACTAACAATGAAATATTTTGTTGTAATTATAATTTGTTTGGTCAAGACGAAAGTGGGCCTGAAAAACTTAAGTGCATATTATCATTGACGCATACGAATTTCAGAATGATCCCTTATCTAGTAAAATTACCAATGGTTACCTTTTCCCTTTTTTGCATCAAGTAAAAGAGATACTGAACTGATATACTTTCTGCCCTAGCGTACTGTTCTGAGCCATCTCTACACAGAGTTTGGCCAACCGGTTCGAGTTGGACACAATATGGTGACTAAGTTGCTTTGTTGGGCAAGCACACAAGAAAAGAATATACGCCATGTTGCGACCCAGTGAAACCATGTTGGCCAAACTCTGTGTATAGATGGCTCTGCTGTTTCTTGCACAGCGCCCGCTCTTGGTCAACTTACCAACAGTGCACAACCCACTTCGCAGACAGAGAGTTCGATAGTAGAGCCAGGGAGATGTAGAACCAACATCGCAGTTTATACGGAAGCAGCGAGTTACTGGACCATACTACTACAGGTGACCTGAGAAGGCGCTAGAGGATATTTTACGATAGTGCTTCTCGTACAATGTGTCTTAAAGGGATAGTTGAGTTCTGTTTCAGAGGGCGCTACACAAAGTAATTGTTTTGTGAGATAATGAAAAACTGAGTGTCAAATTTGAAAAAACATAATATTTAAATGACAAATTCATCTTGTTTGATTAAAATCAGTTCAGAGACGGCTAAAATATCCATAAATATAACGATTTCGTACCACCACAAATATTAGATATTTTGAAAAATTTGAAAAACCCGTTGAAAAAACGAAATAACGGCTTTTACGTCGTATTTCAGCCAATGCCGCTGTATCTTTTTTGTTGGCATTTTCGTGTTGCTTATCTTACGCACAACCAGCCGGACCATGTACTGTTATTTTTAATTAAAACAATTAATTAACGGTCGCCGTGTTTTTTTTTAAAGTGCAGCTGTATTGGTATGATCGTATTGGCTAAATTCACACATTTTGTGGTCTAAAATTAACCGTTCATAGAAATTTTAGGTTCTAAAAGGGCACTAGAAATGTCATAGATAGGAGTAAGAGCAATAACCATGCACTTAGTTTGAAGGCATTTGCGGTCTGAAAACAGAACTCAACTATCCCTTTAAAGATAGCTCAGCGAAATTTACGTGTCCATAAACGCAAACTACATGGTTGTTAAGAATCGTTATTGTTAAAGACAACGGTAGATCATATTGCTCTGATATGGAGCTGGTAAATGCATTTACCGTATTGATCAGGCTTGACGTTAGCTAAAGGTTCATTCAGGTATGTCAAAAGAGAACTTTGAATTAAAAAAAAACATAATTAACTATAGAATCCATATTGAAATTACCTGAATAAAATTAATCTGAGAAAAAGAAGAAATAAATATTAAACTTTAATTATATCTTTCACTTGGTTCTGTCTACCTTGTCGTCTTAGATTATTAGACATCAAAGAATCAAACATTTAATTTATTCAAGTTGCATTTTGTTCTCAATTCTGCCAGATGTAAGCATTCACTGTAAAAGTTAGCCCGGACTCCTTCTGTAATTTCTCCTTGCAACACGATTACTGAGGCTTTCGCCCCCACCCCCCCCCCCCCCCCCCAAAAAAAAAAAATAATAATAATCCCAAGCCAATTCCAGTATTCTTATCCATCACATTTTAAGATGTGCGAACATTACGATGACGAACTACGTAATCGGAACACGAATACTATTTATTACGCAATTCAATATGGTATTCAATTCGCTCTTTAGTTGGTTTCATGGAAGTATTTCCAATCATGTTTTGCATTAAAATTCGTGACATTTAGAGAAGCCAAAGGTCACTCCTTGCTACAAGGCGAGAGAGACCCATGATACAATTACAACGGACTTAAATAGCGCCATCTATTGTTTGTAACAATGATCATGTTTCATATTATACCAAACAATAATACCAGATGTCAGTTAGATCGCATGCATTAACAGTATCCCTGTTTGGTAAGATGAATTCAAAAAACTGATCTGTATACTTTAAGTTTATAAAATGCAAAATAATATTTGCAAACACGCTTCTAATAAAGCGACAATTGGAATAAAAATTATTTTAGAAGTGACAGTTCATGCACCCTCACTCCGACTTCGTCATCCAATTGGTCATGGTTCAGAATTTTTTTCAGGCTTCGAGCGCTATCTATAATTTCTGGATTTCTATTCAACGTGAAATTATATTATACATGAATAAAATAGAATTAATTAAATTGTGTGTTCTTTGTTAACGTCTGATGAAGGTGTACCATTATGCATTTCCCCTTTTTATTTCAATAATGTTGGAGAAAGAGGTTGATGAAAAGTTGAGGAACCCCCCCCCCCCCCCCCTAATGGTGATAAATTATGATTTTCAAAGTTGATATTGATCACGAACAAATTGGCAGCTTTACAGTCACGCTCTCAAAGAGGAGGGCAAATTGTATTGTGTAAACATCGGAACAAGTATGCATGTTTTTCTTTGAGTAAAATTTAACCAATAATGGGTAATTTAAATGATTTGCAATAGAAATACAGCTGTTTGTTAAACGGTAAACTTGGGAACAGATTGTCTGTGCTCATTGTATTAATAGGCCTACTTATACATAATGATATAGAAATGGTCAGCGCTGCCCTTTCGAGGTTAAAACAAGAAATAGGAGGCCCATTCACCGTTTTCAACATCACGATGTAAGTAATTTTGGACCCAAAATGTATTTCAGTTTTTTCGTAATATCAGCGACAGAAAGAACATTTTTACTATACAAAAGTTAAATAAAACAGAGACGTAATCGAGATTAGATCGTTCCATACTTTTAAACGACCTGCAGTTACCCCTTTCATTTTTTTTAATTCCCCTTTTTGTTTATTGGCGCCAGTTTATGCTTGGGCGGGATTTTCCAGTAGATGGTTGTTATGGTGACGTCGTTCTCGTCTGCCGATTAGTGGGTATGAAAAGCACTGTCTGGATGATAGCTCAAGCATTTACGCACTAATTTAGGAAGATCTCATCTGTGTCTTCCAACAGCTGTGATCCAAATATATACCATCTATTCACCTCACAGAACCGCTTCTCGGTCTTAACTAAAATACAGGTATCGTTAACAAAACCCTCATACGTCAAGACAAACTATTCTGCTAATGTGTGCTTATTAGCATTATATTTTGTTATTCTGTAAATTGCCTGTAAATAATAGTAATGGTAAAAGATACCTCTATAGCGCACATTTCTATTCAGTGACTATATGCTGTGGACAATGACGAAGATATAGGAAAAAAGTACGAATATACCATTCAAATTACGTACCGAAAATTAAAATGCTGAATTTGTGTTTGATTGATCACAACTTAAACAATTCATAACGTTTTCATATTTAAAGGAAACCAAAACCTTCATACTAAGTTACTTTTATTGTAAAGTTTAAGATGTTTGAAAAATATCAGTGAAATTTGAACAAAATCGGGCAAGGATTAAGGAAGTAAGAGTGTGTGTGTGTGTATTTGGTTTTTACAGACGTGTATCAATCAGATATGATTATTTACGTCTGGGGACCGACCTTTAACGTCACCATCCGAAAGACGTGATTCAGTTTCGAACCTGCGTCCTCGGCTGAATCAGTTTGTAACTTCCACTGTTAGCTGGATTACAGGCGCACGCCACAACGCCTAGCTTTTTTTAATTACTAGTCACTAGAGGGCGGTATTCAATTTGATGACATCATCTGTAAACAACTCTCCATGCCTTTTGTACTTCAAATTTCATGTTTTTCCT